TTAGGAGTAGTTACATTTATACAGTCTTACATCTACAATGCTGATGCTGATGTGGCCCAGAGAGAAGATGAGTTTGACACCCCTGCTCTAGATGATCCATCGAATTCTTCTTCAACAAGGACTACTACCTCTGTGACAGAAAGTAGTTCCAATCAAAAACCAAACTAAAACCAAAACTGTTTGGCTCGATAGAGTGTTACTACTAGTGTAGGACAAGGAGGGGAAATGTAAAAACAAAAAAAAGTTGTACTTTGGTTGAACTATTCCTTTAAATCACAGCATCATGTCCGGTAAGCGGAAGCTAGTCTCAGTATCACTGCTTGTCCACACTGCTGCTCTTTTGATGACCAACTGTGACCGACTGTGGGCGGAGTCAGAGTTCTTGGATCCATGTACGGTCTCTTGCAGCTGCAAAGTTTAACTCAAGCACATCATTTGTTTTCCACAGCTTTGATATTGCTTTACATAACGTTTCATCATTTTTATGAGTGAACAGCTCACGAGCAAGTAGCTAATTATGAGTTAGAATTAATGGGAAATAAACACAGTGAAATTCTTTTAAAGTAGGATGGGTGCAATCCTTCTTTTAGGAACATTTTTCGAGATTTTTTTTTAAGTCTTGTAGTCCATTAGAGGTTGGACTGAACTAGATGCTCTGAAATTCGAAAAAAATCACACTGAGGGATCTGATCCTGAATGAGTGACCATGGAGCATTCAGCCATGGCTGGTCCCACTACTCTTTTGAAATCAAATCTACAACGTCATGTCTGAGGCATCAGGTCTGGTCCATGCAGTCCTTTAAGGCTAGGGTTTATTTTATTTTTATTTTGGAGCTAGTGCTGCGAGCTACTTTTATTGTAAAAGACTTAGCAACACTGGGCTGGGTTTTTAATATCTAGTGTTTCTCAGCATTACTAAGCCTAGCTTTGTTAGTTGTTCAGAGCTTCCAGATTCCAAATATTAATATTTCTACATTGTATGTGCTTGTAGGTTCCCACTACAGATATTTGCATGTTTTTTAATGTTCTGTCAGAACCTTTTTAGAACTGGCTACTGCAACTTGTCATGGCAAAGAGGTCTGTGATTGGTTATTTTAAATTACAATCAAAAAACCGTTACAGTCAAAAATGAGGTTGCTTTCAAGAAAAAGAAAGCTCAGTTCACCCAACTAACAAAACAACGTATTCTTTCACTTACCTCCATCAAGATGGTTTTGGTTTTATTTGTCCAGGATATATCTGTCTCTTGAGATGTCTGCCTCCCATTTAATACAATGGAAGTGTGTTTCATTGATTGTTCTTGCAGCATTGGAAAAAGTACATGAAAACAACTCAACAGCATCATCTCTTTCCAGAGACAGTGTCCCTGTTTAATCTGGATAATCCACAGAACACACCGAGGAACCGAAGGAATAGTCCCTCTAAGAAATTGTCACTGTGTTTTGGAGAGATGGCTGTTGAATGTTTTACCTTTCTGCATGGACAGGGCCAGGACTAAGATTGTATTAATTGATTTGGCTATTTTTAGCAGGTTTTAGTGTTTAAAACCCTTGTAATGTCCTGGGCTCAATTTTGACCCCATTAGACGTTTAACGTCTCTAAATAAATGAGACATCATATTTTTGGTTTAATATTGAATGACTTTTCCTAATTTAATGGGGACAACTGGGTAAACATAAACTCAACATGTTGATATATAAAGTGATATGTAAAGCCATTAAAACACCCAAAAAATATATCTTTCCAATTTTAGGTCAATCAGTGAGATTTGATGGTGATCTGCATATTTCTCCATAGTAACAGGGATTCTGGATGTATACGGGTTTGGGTGTCGGGGGAGTTGTTTTATTTAAAGGGCTATTTAGGTAGTCAACAAAAAACTAAGTACCTGACACATAAACTTGGGTAGCAATTTTAATTACAATAATGTTCTGCAGGTTCAAATTGCTGGGGTCAAGGTGACCCGAGGATAACAGGTGTTAGTAAATTTGAAGGTAACAGGAGGGTTAAATGTTGCAGAACTGAATGTTGACATGTTTTATATGTCAGGTAATGACTTGGAATAAAGTTGACTAAAGAGTTGAAACACAGAGGTGGGTGATAATTTATACTGTATGCTTTATAAACAGTCTAACCTGACGGGGTCATTTCTGACCCCAGAGGACAACAGGTGTGATTATGTGCTGCCATTAGAAAAATTCAAATGATTCAAGAACAGCTTCCTCACTAAACTGATATGTACCTCTCTGTGATAAGTCAAATAGTCAAAATAATATAAAGTCAAAATAATTCATTGTTTCATTGTATTTTCACTCAAAAACAGGGTATACTTTTATGTAAACAAGTTCTATTGGCCCTAAATTCCAAAATGAAGGGAAGAATATGTGGTAATGTGTTGGACTGAAGTAAGACTAAAGGTGTAAAACAGAATTGATCGACAATTTATACTATATGCTTTAAAAACAGTCAAACCAGGCGGGGTCATTTCTGACCCCAGAGGACAACAGGTGTATGGCAATCGGGAGGACATTAAGGGTTAAAAGAACCTGCATCCACACGCTAATGTTGGCAGGAACATTGTGTGAAGCAACCCAGACCAGACTTAAGGCCCTTGATCTAAGGTGAATCAGTTTGCAGAATGGTAAATTAGCCAAGGTTCCCTGGCTGCAATTAAAAATGTCAAATTAAATTAAACCATAAATTTGACATCCCCCCCACCCCCGTTGGCGATAATGGTTGAAAAGAAAGGGAGGCGAAGGACAGCGGCATGTGATGTTTGACACACAGGAAGTCACCACCGATTGATTGGCTCCCGTTGAACTAGACATTCACCTCCTTAATGTAAAGTCTTTCATGTGTTCAGTCCTTGGGAATTCATCCCCACAGACTCTGGTTGCTGTGAGTAACAACAGACAGATGAAAGACCAACTGGATTTATTCTTTTCATTCCTTCTCCAAATGCATGAAAGTCTCTGGCAGCAGAAGTGAAAAAGAATACCAGCAGATTAAAATAATGAGGGTTTAGAGGACCTCGGTAGCTTCACATGAGTCACATTTCTCTCTTATCTTTCACCTTCTTCGCCCGCAGAGAAGACAGGAAGGAGGGAGGGATGCATCTGAACTCTTCAGGGCCAGCTGAATTCTGCCCTGTGCATGTCTCCTTGTTAATGCACAGAAGAACCTTTTTAAACATCCTGTGATAGATATAAAATTGCCAGGCATGAAATAATAATTAGAGAGCTGGTTGTCGCTGGAACCCTGGCTGCTCTGGCAGGGCCTTGCTAATTTGCACTGTCATCTCCGTGGATGGCACGGCAAGCCCGAGTCTGATGGGGGGGGGGATAAAACCTGCTGGGTGTTCTCTGCTGGAACTATCATCCGGCACCCACACCTCCGCCACCATCCCGCTGCTATTTGTGTCTCATCACAAGCTGCTTTATCTCTGCAGCTCCTCTCCACTCATCACTCAGGAGCACCACTAGAAAGGCTTCTTCTGCTATCGGAGAGGAGTGGGCCTTTTCCAAAGGCTTTGAATGGACTCCCAGCAGCTGACAGAATGCATGTTGCTGTATTAACAAGGCGTGTCTGAGCAGCGGAGCAGCATGTATGAACGTGTGCTCTGTGATGTGTGTGGGCAGGCGTCTTCTTGAGGGGACATATCGAGTTTGATGTGCATCTGAAGTCTCTTGTTTTTGCTGTTTTCTTTGCCTTTGAGCCTTCAATACTGTCATACAATGCATGCGTGTGTGTGTCATATGGGAATGAGAAGCATGAAATTACCAGTTTATTAGATCAAATACAGTATCTGAGTACAGCATAGGCCTGGGACCTAGTTTATGCAGTCAGTTGAGGCTGAAGGCGGTTTCTGACCAAACGGAGAACTATCCACCATTTAACATCTAACACAAGCAAAATAGGCGTCATGATACCTTTTTTAATTTCAGTTTGAATTGACTTCTTTGGCTCAACGGGTGTGTTTTGTGCTACTAGGTTAGCTCACTGAGCGGCGTTCTTTGCTCAGTGGGTGTGTGCTGATGAACAAGTTAACTTCCGGACTTTGCTGTTGGTTTATTTGTCCGTGCTTTCTTCCATTTCTGTACACTTATGGCATGCATGGTTCCTCTTGTGTTGGGTTAGGTCTCCTCTAAAGTTAAGAAAGTCCTGCAAGCTTGTTCTGAGGACTATGATCGTTCCTTGTTCTTGCGGTGCGGATACAATAAAAAGGGAATTCTTGAAACTATGAAAAAAGTCTTCTGATCTAAAAACACCTTAAGTTGCTGCTACTTTCACAACATCCCCCTCTCACCGCAGTGTAGATCCAGTGGACCCAAGCTATGCTGTCACTCTTAATCAACGTGTTCTACATTCATAAAACAATCTGTTTCAAATGAATCGGCTGACTGAAATTTCATTCATTTCAGTTATTTAATTATAAGAACAACAGACATTAGTCATCACTTTTGTAAACGTGCCAGTGTTAGTCAGCTGGCTGCAGTTCTCTGACGTTGACGTGATCTTGATGTTTCTAAGCCAATGAGGGGATGTTTAAAATGTACAGACAAATAACACTGTAGCTAGCAGCTTACAGTGAGGAGACAGCAAACTGTTGTAAACAGACCTCCAGGTTAGTCTAACTGGTTTGAAAGACAAACTGTAAACTGACTGTCCTTAAAGATCCATCACAGTTTAAACACTCACTTCCTGCTATCTAACAGTACCGTCAAGGACCAGGAAACTTCATTGAGCATTTCATCTGAATGCACTCCAGCTTTACATTCATGACCCTCACTTGACGTTTTCCTCAAATAACAGTTTGAAGAGTGTTGGAAGTGCATTTTGTCACTGAGCTTGTCTCATTTGCCTTGTAAAGTGTACTGGCTGACAGCACAGCGAGCCATTGTCTCAACCTGAATGTTGCCTCTTTCCCTCGATCTCCATTCCTCTCTGTGTCCCTCCCTCCCTCCCTCTTTCCTCCTCTTCTTCGTCTCTCGACCACACAGGAGGCCATTGTGACAGGTCTGCTGCCAGAGACAACCTACTCTGTGACTGTGGCTGCGTATACCACCAAGGGGGATGGAGCTCGCAGCAAGGCCAAGGTGGTCACCACCACAGGAGCAGGTGTGTTGCATCCACCACATTTTCCCCCCATCTTCACGGTTTACTGTCTACCGCCACTATTGTTATGGTTTGATTAGGTTTAGAAAAGAAAAAAAAATACTTAGTGTTGTATTAGTGTTGTATTCTCAAGGCCGGTCTCAAAACCCCTTTTTGAAGGTCTTGTCTCGGTCTAAGACAAAGAGGACTTTATATCAAGAGGGGTCAAGACCACAACTGCAGTACAGGTTATAACTTAACTGCCCGTGCATTGTCTGATTTATTTGTTGACATCAAACTGTGATGAATTACAATAGAATTGACCTCTGCAAAGCCTTTTGATTATTTTATCAAGACGTTTCTAATGGGATACACGGGGGGAAAGAGGTGAATGAAGAGGAATCCTCATTAGCTTTTATGGGAATGTGGATTAGTGTGAGGAGTGCCTGTGGGTTACATGTTCCTTTGTCATCTCTGACTGGTCGTGGTCTTGACTCAGTTTCAATACACTCTGGTCTTGGTTTAGGTGGTCTTGGTTTAGGTGCTCTTTAATACAACACTGCTTTAAAGGTTATGGTTAAGTTATGGTTTAAATTATGGTTTATTCCTTTATTTTAATTGCTAGCCATTGGTTTTATTGTTTATGATAACAGTATACTCAGCGAAGTAATTGCAGAGATCCAAAAATAGATCCAACAGGGCAACAAGCATGAGGGGCAGGTTGTAAACAAACCTCAAACTTATATTGAAGAGGAAAAAATATGGAGAATGTTAAAGTTACACCATTCTAAACATCAATTCCAGGTTAACTTTGACTTACTGTACTTGCCTTAGTTGTTGGCTCACACTTTGTTACCGTGCAATGAGGGATTATTTCCGACAAATAATCCGAGAGCTAATCTCTCCGCGTGTTTACAACCTGTTTGATCGTCTGACTGCTCGTGCATGTTGCCCCGTGTTCTTAGAGGAGTCATGTTTCACAACCTTGTAATTATGACATATTTTTAAACTAGTTCCCATTTTCTCCACTGGATAGCAAGTCAAATAGGACGCCGATGTGTTAAAGGATCAGTGTGTAAGATTTGGCGGCGTCTAGTGGCGAGGTTGTGGATTGCAACCAACAGAAACTTCTCCAGTGTACCAAGCGTGGAGGACTAACGCCAACGCAAAACACAAATGGTTCTTGCTAGAGCCAGTGCTTGCTTTGTCCGTTCTTGGCTGCTGTAGAAACATGGTGGTGCAACATGGTGAAGTAGGCTCATTCGATGCTCACCAAAACACAATGATTCTTAGTTTCAGGTGATTATATACTAATAAAAACCTAGTTATGAATATTATATCAATGCTGCCAATAGATCCCCCAAAATGCTACACACTGTACCTTTAAGGGTTATTGTAGTGTACATGTATTGAAGGGAGACGTCTTGAGTGTAATCAAGATATGGGAATGTCTCCCAGTTCCTGGCAAGCCCACTATGATGATCAGCACCACCATAGGGAACACTGCCCTGATCCAGTGGCAGCCTCCCAAGGAGATGGTCGGGGAGCACGTGGGATACCAGCTGCAGTACAAGAGAGCAGAGGAGGAGGCCTTCACCGTCAAAGACTTCAGGAAGGCAGACGATCATTTCACAGTGACCGGCCTCCACAAGGGAGCCACCTACATCTTCAAGCTGTGCGGCAAAAACCGAGCAGGCAACGGGGAGGAATACGTGAAGGAGATCAGCACCCCCGAGGACGTCCCCAGCAGCTATCCCCAGAATCTGAGCGTGGTCGGCCTGACCGCCACCTCCACCAACCTGGCCTGGGAGCCCCCTCCTCTGGCCGAGAGGAACGGGAAGATTGTCAAGTACGCGGTGGTGTACCGAGATATCAATAGCCAGCACAACAACACCAACAGCACCACAGAAACGCAGATGACGGTCCAAGGCTTGCAGCCAGACACAACCTACGACATCAGAGTCCAAGGCTTCACCAACAAGGGGGGAGGGCCCATCAGCCCCAGCATTCAGAGTCGGACCATGTCCACCTCCATGCCAGGTGAGAGCCACAGACTACCTCAGCACTCCGTACATTACTCCATCATTTGGAAATGTAGGGCTCTATTAGCCTGAAACAGGAAAAAAACACAAACATTTTTTTCAAATGCACGTTTTTTACATTTTGGTGACCACAAGTGCAGCTCAGCGCAATGTGGAGGAAAGGCTGAATACTTTATTAGCAGGAGGAACACAGAACCAGAAGGGGGAGGCAGGTGAGCTTCAGTACTGACCATAATGAGCTCCCCTCTTCCCTTCTTCAAAAACAGCAACAGTTGAAAGGCTGAGGTGACAAGAAACACATGAAATTCCCCCTAAAAACCCACAGACAAATATTAAAACAAATATGCTGTTAATGGCGGGACAAACAAGCAGCTGATGTATATTGGTGCAGTATCAGTATCAATATCAGTGCAGCTCTAGTCGTCCAAACTATCAATAAAGCTTAATTGATAAATTTAAACTCCGCTTAAAAACACTGAACATAAACGAGACCAAGTGCGAAATCGATATAATAAATATTATATATGGTATAGAATAAGATATTACTTCTTATTTATCAAACAGAAAAAAAGAAAAGAAAATGAAACAGTCCTCGTATTTTTAATCAACAAATGCAAAATGGCGTCCGCATGGCATCCGCACGGCATCCGCTGTGCGTAAAGTACGGCAGATTTTGAAGAGGTGTGAGTGTGATCCTCTGCCGTGGAGTTAGTTCTGAGTAGAAGGAAACACAAGTGAACATATTGTTTTCAGATTATGTAGATCAACTTCCACGGGCGTAAACCACAACTGCAAATAGAAGAAAGAAACTGAGACAGAATGTTGTTGCTGTTAGACCCTGACCAATCCAGTTGCTGTGTCGGGACATTTGAATAATGAATGAAGTTGCTGCTGCTGTCCGTGTCATCCTGTAGAATGACACACACCACCTCTCTAAAATCAGAAAGTGCAGATGGAACACATCTGCCTATCACTCCTGCTGCTGTGTGACTACAGCTGTTTAATCAATTGCATGGAAGAGATCAGACATTCTACAAGTTGTTGTAAACATATTTCTGTGGTCACTGGATTACACTGGTAAGACTCACATTAAAATAGTATTTTATCTTTATTTAATGATCTGCAGCAGATGTAAAAACAAAGACTCAGGTCAGTTAAGAGTAGAAGCCCAGCTTTTTATTTTGAAGGCTGTTATAATGACTTTGGTATTGGTCCTGTGTAATTGCTGTATATCTAAGATGTAATGTATGAAACCCTTCTTCTGCGTTCGTTTTATTAAGTGGATGATTTTTTTCCTATCTTGGTCAGAGGTGCCACATATTCAGATCAAAGTGAGATCACTGTAGAGCTAAAAAGAACTGCAAAGGTGGTGAAAGTTATATGTGGAATTATAACTATGAGTGACTTTTTTATATAACAGATATGTATTTGATCCATTATTGATATAAAAAATATTGATTAGTTCAGCTTTAAGTCATTGATATTGGTCACCAAATTATCGCTATATAGATAATAAAAACATTGCTGTATTGAGACAATGCTGTGTCTAAATATGACAGGTTGTGCTCTCGTTTTGATGAATTTGCACAGTGTACATTGTTCTCTCATTTTAGCTCTTCAATTTTGAATCATCTCAGTCATATTTACAATTAAATTAACCACCTGATAATCATCTAGACCTTCCCTCAGTGTTCACCAAGAACTTTGCCGTGAAGGCTGTGACGAAAACCTCTGTCCTGCTGACCTGGGAAGTGCCACAAACCTTCAAATCCCAAGTTCCTCTCAAGGTAAGATTGCATCACGCGTCACCTCGACAGACCTTCCACCTAGCTGCAGCATTTACACGTTACAGCCACTGAATTTAACAACCAAAGGAGGTTTTATACTGATAATCTAGAACCTTGTACTCAAACGTTTGTGAATTTCAACACAGAGGTTCCATATGAAACTGCTTCCGAGACAATAATATGGACCACTAGGTGGAGACCAAATTATAACTAGAAAATGCATTTCCTGCTGAAAATGCGTTGGAATACTGAAAACTGAAATTAATTGCAAAAACATTGCTGAAAATAGATATCCAATTCAAAACAAATTGCTAAAAGCTTAATAATTCAAAAAGTTTCAAAATTACAAATATGAAAAGTCATATCACACCTCTCCTGAAAGAGCTGAACATTTTGATATTCGAACGGTTTCTGTGGCTTAAAACATTTCATCAGTGGTGATATTTGTAGTACAAGAAGTTGTAGTTGTAGTAGAAGCATTATTAGTAGTAGAAGTATTAGTAGCGTTAGAATAAGGACTAGTAGTAACAGTAGTGATATTTGTCGTAGTAGTAGTAGTAGAAGTTGTAGTTGTAGTAGAAGTATTAGTATTAGTAGTAGTATCAGTAGTCGTAGTATTAGCTGTAGTATTGGTCGTAGTATTTAATATAACAGTAGTAGTAGTAGATGAAGTAGTAGTAGTAATAGTAATGGCAGTAGAGGAAGTAGCAGTAGTAGTAGTACTAGTAGCAGTCATACTAATAGCTGTAGTAGTATTAGTACTGGTAGTATCAGCAATAGCAGTCGTAGTAGTAGCAGTTGTAGTATAAGTAATAGTAGTAGTGGTAGTAATAGCAGTAGCGGTAGTAATAATATTGATGGTAGCAGTAGTAGTAGTAGTAATAGTAGCAACAGCAAAAGTTATAGTAGAAGTAGTAGCAGTAGTAGTAGTAGTAATACTATATTAGCAGCAGCAGTAGTAGTTGTCGCAGTATTAGTAAGAGCATAAATTTTGTCAACAAAAAAGCCTAATTTTGAGTTTAATGTTTAAATAGAGTTAATCCATGGGGCTTTTATTTTGAAAGGGAGGAGGAGAGGAGACAGAATCAGAATGTATGAAACACAAACAGAGGTTATTAAATGACAGGCTTCATCACAAGCATTTCAGTTAGAGTTCACACTCTGGGGCTTTTATTTTGAAATGGGGTGTGGGGGGGGGGGGTGGAAAGTCCTCTTAAAATCTCTAAGACATGAATGACTGTATGAGAGAGAGACACAGAGAGAGAGACATAGACAGAAAGATAGAGAGATAGGATAGAGAATGAGTGTGAGAAAGACAAACAGAGAGAGAGCCAGAGAGAAAGAGAGACAGAGAGAGAGATAGATAGACAGATGGTCTAACAATGCCTCCAAGTCGTGTGTGTAGAGAGACAGACAGAGAGAGCCTGCGTGCGTGTGTGTAACTGGTTGCCATGGCGAGGATGCACCTGGTGTTAGAGGCAGACTGATTAAGAAACATTACAGTAAACAGTGATTTTGAACAAAACCCCTTTTAACAAAAAGCAGGAGTCTGAGTGCCAAAATATGGATACCGTGAGAAAGATAAGACTCTGCCGAACGCAGTAATGTGTTTTTTATGTTTGCGGTGTTAAAAATGTGAGCTCCAGAGCAATAGACAAAACTGGTACCGTCTGCTTTCTTTGAGAAATGAGTGGTCAGTTTTAACATGGAGTCTAATGAGCAGTTGGTTGGAGTTCATGTCACTCTGCGGCTCCTTGAGCCAAATGTGTAAGTCTGTTGGATTCCACAGTCATTTGTCTACGACAAGGACAAGATTAGCTACTTTTACATCCGAAAATTATTCATGAAGAGTGAAGATTGTGGACACAGTGGCAAAAGACAAATGTTTTTTTCACAAGAATCTCAAGCTGCTCTTCACTAGCGGTGACATCACGCACTCTAAGCTGCGCAATACACACCCATTATAAAAGCAGAAAAGTTAAATTGCTGCAGTTCAAAAAGTGTAAAAGATATCAAAAAGCTGAATCACGTGGCAATAGATCAGCGTTTTCTCTGTAGCTGAAAGTATGAGGAAGTAGAAGGATTTGAAAGTTGAAGAAGTTTAAGAGGATTTGAAAGATTTCTCCATACCAAAAAAATGGCAAAAAGCTTAATAATTTAAAAAGTTTAAAGATTATAAATATGAAGAGATATAGCACCCATGAGCTGAAAGAGCTCATGGAACAGCATTGGGTGGAACAGCATTCCAACAACTATTGAGTCTGACTTATCACAAAAAGGCACCTGAAGTAAGTCCTACGAATGTCTGACACGGTCCTGAATAATAGAACTCATCCATGGTAGGCAGATAATACATGTTATTATACACTCTTAGAAATAAAGGTGCTAACTACAACCATATAGGGTTCTTCGGCTTGTCCTTATAGGAGAACCCTTTTTGTGTTCCTAGTAGAACCTTTTATAAAAGAACCCTTTGGGGTTCTGCCTAGAACCATCCGTGAAAGGTTCCATCCAGAACCCTCTATGAAATTTCTATCCAGAACCTTTCCACTTTGTAAGGGTGCCAACGAGATGCAACCCAGCAGGGTCTGCGGAGAACCCTCTTAGATTCCATGGGTTTCATCCAGAACCCACCCATTGGGTTCTACTGGGAACCTTTTATATTCCAAAGCATTGCCTTTTTACATCCACTCTTTCAATAATCCTTGAAGAACCCTTTCAAAAAGGGTATTTCTGATGAAAAGTGTGCTACATGGACCCTTAGTCTCACAGAGGACCCTTAGAATCCCTTTCTCCACAAAAGGTTTTTCTGGAAGGAAATGGGGCTAGAACCTGTTTGGAACCCTGATTTCTAAGAGTGAAACTGTAGATGCAGACAGGAGGTGGTTATTAACACGGTATAATGTAATGACTTCAGTAATAGAAACAGTTTGTACATTTATATGAGATATTTGAGATATTCTCTTTTGTACTCCGTAACAGAGCAGCTGCAACATAAATCATCAAGAAAATCTATTTGCATCATATTAAACTGTCTGTAACTGAGCTTTATGACCGGCTGTTTGTTGAGGGACGTCTTGATGAGAAGCTAAAAGGCAGAAACAAAAGTTCATGACCATGTGTCATCAACTAAATAATAGTAACCAAGTAAATCATACCTTATTTGTATAGCACCTTGTAACACAAAACAATGTGTTGTAGTGCTTCACAGAATCAAAAGCAGAGAACACGGAGGCAGCAGGGATACAATGATACAACTAAGTGAGCTGAAGCTACATATCATTTATGAAACCAAAACATAGTAATGTACGTTTTAATACAGTTTTGTCCGTTAAAAGTTGTAATAGTTCACAGCCCTTTTATGAAAGAATATGTCAATATTTTTGGGAATGCACTCAATCCTTGTCTTTCCTGAGATTCATGTCAATCTCCTGTTATCTGCATTAAGTACGGAGCTGAAGTGAGAACATGGTATGGTTAGCTTAGCATAAAGACTGTAAGAATGCAGATTTAGCATACAGATATATTAGCTTTATTCATTTTATAATCTAACTCTCAACGAGACAGGTAGTAAACTTATCTGGATTATAAATCAAAGAGATGAATTAATAGTACAAGGAAGAGAAGAGGAAAATTGTCAAAGTATTACTATATGTTGATGGTAACTTTTTATGATATAGGTTACTGAGGCACAAACATTGAAATGTAATCCAACTTCATGACTTATTTCAGAATTTAGTTTTTGTCAAGATTAATTTAGAAAAAGAGAAAAAAACGTATTTTTCCTGAAGTCAGTTCCACAGACAGCCAGTGTAGTAAACACTATGTAATCAATCAAAACTGTATCACTGTTAAAAAGACCTTCATCCGGGCTTCAGATCCTGTACAACCAGCAGAGTGTGGAGGTTCAAGGCGACCTGAAGAGGAAGCTGATCACACAGCTGCAGCCGGATACGGATTATTCCTTCGTGCTCATGAGCCGGGGGAACAGTGCCGGCGGCCTCCAGCAGCAAGTTTCCATCCGAACAGCCCCAGACCTGCTGAAGATGAAACCGGCTCGATACCCACACGATGTGGAGGAGGGTGGCAAAGTCACCATCAGTCTGTCCAGGCTGCCTGCAGAAGCCCCCGTCAGGTCTGTGCTGTTTGTTTGTCTGAGTGGAAACCATACTGGAAGAAATATGGGATAATTCATGATTTCATAGATGGCTCTGAAATGTCTTCTCTCCTCTGTACATCAGTTTGATATTATAGTCGTGGGAAGTAGTTAAGGCTGGCTTTATATAAAAGCAATTAAAAGCTGTAATAATTGACCTTGATGTCCAATCAGTGTTGATGGTGCAGTGCCGGCAGTGGCCACATGTACCAGGATGCATTACGTTGGTGCCCAGACAGAGCGTTAGGTGACATAAATACTCACTTAATGGTTGCATTCATGTTTTTATATCTAAATGTGCTCAAGAATTCACATCGATAAAAAATGCATCATTTTAATGACAGTCACATTTGAAACGTTCCCTCGGATGCAGTGACACAAAACTGATCATTTTTTTTAAACCAGTAAAAGCTCCTCAGAATGTGGTGAGGAAATTGAACCCTGAACACATTAAATTTGTATTGGCGATGGCAGGCGGTGATGCTGAGCCGACAGCACAGTGTGTAGAATGAGATGAGATTCTGTCAAATGAGGCGCTAAAACCATTGAAGCTGCAGAGACACTGCACCACAAAGCACCTGGGATGTGTTGGCAAGCCAAATAACTACATCTTAAGGAAAGGGGACGGGCTTCAGGCACAACACAGTCATCACTACCGACAGCAGCGTCAATTCATCTTTTGCAACCGCTATCTGCCCCTTCTCAAGGTCCGAGTCACCAAAGATGTGCTAATGAGGTTAAAGAGCAAACACGCCTTATTCCTTGCCACTGTGTGCAATTGACAGTTTTTGCATCTAATTGAAATGATCCATGTGGCAAGGTATAGATACGCCATCTTATGTAAGAATGCTGTCAATCCCTATCTTTTGTGAGGTTCATGTCAATCTCCTGTTATCTACATTAAGTACGGAGCTGAAGTGAGGACATGGTTAGCATAGCTTAGCATAAACACTGTAAGCATGCAAATTTAGCTTGGAGATATGATAGTGGTATCGATTTTATCATCTAACTCTCAACAAGTAAGGTAGTAAGCATATGTGGGTTATGAGTCAGAGAGATGAATTAATAGTACAAAGAAGAGGAACATTGTCAATGTATCACTTTTTATAATACAGGTAACTCAGGCACAAATATAGGCCCAACATGTGGGTTGTGAGGGGGAGAGTCTGCAGCGATCCTATAGTACGTCTCATTAACAGAGACGCTGTGCACATTTACACACGAGACACAGCAGCGTCACTTCATTGATTATTTAAATGTATTATCAAATATGACATTTATCTCTCATGACACAACTGACATTGCCTCCTGTCATTGATAATAATAATAATTGTACTGTGACTGTGTGACTATTAGACCTGATCTTTGTTTATTGGACTGTTTTTCGCAGAGAGGCTCATTTACATAGAAAGGGGATGATTTTGCACTAAATCACTCAGGAAAACGTGCAAAGAGCACAGGAACACCGAGGCGCTATTTGCAGTGCTGTCCTACTACAGTTGAACCTCCTCCTAATGACCTCATTATGACGCCACAGCTACGGTTATTATTTGTTTCTAGGGGTGTAACAAGGCTTACAGACACAACAATACGTTTGAATAATACTAGTGCATTTGGAAAATGCAGAAGCTTAAATTGTGGGAAATATAATGTTTTCGGTGGACTACGCTCAACCTGGCAACATGCTGTCTGACACTCCCACCCCGGAACCACAACATTGTACTCTGGTGAGGCGCATGTGTGCAGAATCAACACAATCCTTTTGTGAATTCTTCCCTCGGTGTGTGAGCAGTGTGAATACCTTAAAGGCTTCAACACACAGCAGCCTAGTGAGGCTAAGTCAAGTGGAGCCACACAAGAGATGCACACAGACAATGTTTTCTTGTGTTCAATCAATAGCTCAGCTTGTCTGCAGCCATTACAAGCCTGGTTTATTTACTTCTTCTTCTGTTCTAGCCAGTTCATAACGAGGCAATTATCCGCTGCAGCAGAGAGTTCTTTTCAGGTCAGAGTTTCAGACACAAACAAAACATTCAGTCCCACAACACAACAACGCCATGATTATAAGCACATGGCCATGCTAACAATAGCCCCGGTGCCCCTTCAGAGCTTTCTCCTGACGCTAAAAAGCAATTTATTTAAGTGTTGAGCTTTTAAACCACAGTTGATCAGCGAAGACAATCCCAAATGCAAAGGCTGCAATTCAGTGGAAGGTTACTTTTTTATTATTACCCAGCTCGATCGAGGAGACAGGCACTGCAAATTACTTGGACTTAATTGTGTTTCAAGTGTTTGTTTCTCTGAAGAAATTGCCCACAAGTAAGCTGTAAAAAGAGAAGTGGGTCTGATGGAGAAAACCCCCCCAACTAATACCATTTCAATATGAATGCCTAACCCAGACCTTCTCATTAGTAGCAGAGCAAACTTATCCCATCGGTGTTTAGGAGAAGAGGAGACGTGAATGTAAAAAGTTTATAACAAATATGAAGAAAACTCTTGAGACATTAGAGCATAGATGACTGAAATCAAACAGCTTGTAAATCACGTTGAAGCTGTGTTTCCGATGGGTGTATTCAATATGGGTGTGTAATACAGCTGTGCCACTGTGTTTGATACAGGTGGTACTACATAGTGGTTGTTCCTGTTACCCCGGTTTCTCTGAAGAGATGGGAGAACCCCGAAGACATGGACATACATGAGGTGAGTGGACGTATACTTGTATTCGCCATGCAAAGGGACAAAGTCTCTCTCGAGTCCCCTAAAAGCTTCTCCCAAAAAGGTAAACCTTTCCATTTTCAGGTTTTTGGTTAAGGTCAGGCTTGGGGTTGGAGTTAAGCTTGTGGTGGTTATGATTAATGGTAACTTTGTTTTTCTAAACAAATAGTTATGTTTAAATTATGTTCAAACACACTGGAACCTCATGTTATAAACACTTATGTACGATCAGTAGATATTTAGATTTTGTTTTCCTTTGACCGTCTCTCAGTGCGACAGTCTTTTTACACAAATGGAGTAGGACAGGTAGCCTATATAGCACTTTGGGGGCGTTAATTATGCTAATGATGCCACCTCAATAAAGAGCACATGTTCACAAACAGGAGGCAATTATCAGGTTGAAACAAGGAATTGATATACAGGTTTGTGCTCTTAGACAGTTTGCTGAATCTGATTTGTAACACTGTATTTGTAACACTGTGTCGGCAAAACTGATAAAAAATCTGCACGAGGCAAATTGTGTGTATCGTTGGGACCTAATGGAAACCTTGCATGCATTTCCTTTCTGAAAAGACATTTTCAAAGCAACCTTTTGAGCTAAAAACCTACATTTTATTTACATCCATGTTTAGAAGCTGTTTATTGGCTACATTTCCAAGACTTGAATTGTTGATCAGTAGAAGCGCAAGAAGCCAAGGAACGCATCCACTTAACATTTGCGTTACTGACCTCTTTGTGTAGTGACGCCCACACGCTTTCGACACACCTAGTAGAGCATGTGATGCAACGAAAACAGGGACCTGCTCATGAAAACATGTTGGCTTGTCATAGCAGCGGGCGGGCCATTAGAGTGATAGTCCAGCAAAAATGGTCTTGCTAGATTGCTAAGGGTCCACACGATCCAATCCAGTAAAATATTTAGTCCAAAACACATAATTACGTCCATAAACACCCACGGGGGGCTGTTGCATCATTTCAAATTAGCCAGTAGATATTGATCATTTTCTATGTATTTTTAGTCATATCTCCCGTTAACATGTAAACATTGCCGGTCTCTGGGTACATCCCAAGTCTCTTAATTCTCATTTCCTCGCTCCTCGATCCTCGCTTGAACCGGAAATTGTTCTGCGCCGCCATATTGACGGCCGTCCCAAAGCTCTAAAGTAGCTCGGAGGAGTGAGGATCGAGGATGGAGGAGGGACCTCGGAGGAGCCATGACAGAGGAGCCACGAGAACAGACTTCCAGGAAGTCTTTTAACGGCCGACACGCCCCCTCATTGTTCATCAGTTATGTGATTGGACGCTGCAGCCGATCGGACTGACTGACTGAGTTTAACACCAGAGTGAAGACGGATCACACAATAAACTCTAGTTTATATTTGATTAGTTTTCTGATTCAACATCTGGTTTAAATAAATGTTCATTGTAGTCTGAACAACAAAAGGACCACAAACAACTTTCTTCATTTATTAGAAAGATTTGTGTTTTCATGATCTGATGTTTCCCTCAATAACTTTTATCATGAATACAATTAAAGTCAGAGAGAGCTGGAGAGACGAAACACTTTTTACATCATTCCTGAGTGTTTGATGAGTTTTATCATTTAAGAGAAACCATAATCATATTCTGGGTTATTTAATAATGACGCCACAGTCACAATTTCAAAACGTACAGACGCAAATAATTCATAAATAAGACGATCGCATTCCGCTGGTAGAAATGGATCCTGCGCTTATAAACAGAACACAGGACACAGTTTGTTAACAGACTACAGAGAGAAACACCTCTACAGTGGTGATTACTGTGTGTCTTTATTAGTTATTAGTAATACTATTATTAAGTACAGTGATCATGTGAACACACACAAACTTATCTAAAGTCTCTCCAGCTGTTAAAGCCGACTGACAGCTGATCCAGCTGTGATCAGCTGATCCTCCGTCATCAGAAACAGATGTCGCTTCACGTGACGCAACTGAGGAAAGGACGTCTCATGTCTCCTAAAACATATTTCCTCGTTCCTCTCTCCTCGCATGGTTTCCTCCATGCATCCCTGGTGGGAGGGACTAAGACGCAAGGAAAGGACCCAAGTGAGGGAAACGGGGATGCAGTTAAGAGACCTGGGATGTACCCTCTGTGTCTCAAAATGAAGGCTGCAGTCTGCGGTTAGATTGACACCTCATTTGACCCAATAGGAGCTTCCATAGCCTGGTCACATTCTGGAACAGCCAACGAGAGTCCGCTTTGAAAGACAATGCCCGCCTCTCTTCTTTGGGTAATGCTCGAGCCAATTGCAACAGATCTTGTTCAAACTCATGCTTCGTTATAGCCAATGAAATTACGAAGAGAACGCTATGCAGATTCACGCAAAGCAAGCTGGGAAAGCCTTTTGGAACTCAAATCTCGCACCGTCAGTGAGGTACTTATGACCGATCTTGAACACCAAAGTGTAGTTAGTGAGAACTTTCAAGAATCTGTGAAAGTTGACAATGGTTAAATATGTTATAGTTAACCATACATTGACATAAATAAACTATAGTTCAAATTTTGGACACGTAGTTTATCGTAGTCTGTGCATTTTGACGTGGTTACTACGAGCCTCCAAATGTGCTTTTATGCGGACGTACTCTTAATAAACCATGTGTAAAATATTCATTTTCTGTTGTATTGTTATCGAATTTGAACGTGTACCAGGTACTATGACTTCATGCTATGGTACCATTGTGTTTTCCAACTAATAAGTCCCAGCCATAGATAACTGCAGGCATCTGTTGGCCAAAAAAAATCCAGGCGGAAATAAAAACCTTCTGTTTCAGTGTGTTGTAGCTTCATTAGCTCAATGCCAGTAGCACTTACAGTGATTCTGACTGATTGTGAAGAAACTTCAGAGTGTTGCCGTTCAATAAAGACTAAAACCATACATGTACTCCCAATGGTTCAATAAGAGCTGTCAGTTTACTTTGGGTACGCCTTGGATAGGCATTTTAGGCAAATTTTACAGGAGTGATAAGAGGTTTTAAACCCAAGCAGCTTGATTGGAATCCAGCCATCTTTCATTTAATCATTTACATCTGTGTTCTTCCTACTGTAACATGTCAATGTGTCTTCTTTGGCTGTTTATTGCACGGCATGATATTATTGCATGTTATTTGCTGTAGCTTTGTGTAATCTAACTGGTTCTGTGCTGTGTCCTCACAGCCAACAAGAAACTACATTTCTGAAGCCCCTCCGGCAATAAAAACATTAGATGGGGCAAACATACTGACAATCTAACTTTTCTGACAGCCTTTTTGTTAGGGGGAATGAAAACATAACACTTGAACTCGCTGACGCCCAGGGGAGATCATGGAGTCACCAAATTGTACTGGGGTCTTCCTCTGGGGAGCATGAATGTGCTCAGGAACTGTTAGAGCAATCAGCCTTTGGCGTTATGCAATATGTTCGTACATGTGGAATTTAGAGCTAGAGGCAAAGCGACAGGGTTAGAAAAATCTGAATATTCATGACCATTGTCTGGCCATTAAATGTTATGTCTACAAAGTTGGTCATGTAGCCTAATCATGGCGCCAAAGAAAGGTTTATCCAAACCAACCAAAATGGTCATCTTCCTCGGACCAATGAGTTTTTGTAAGTATCGTGAAAATGTGGAAATCATGTGTTGGCGTGGGGATTGTGATTGGGGAAAGGCTGAGCAGGGGGTCGCCAAAATCAGAAGGGACCACCAACATACACAACATATGTCATGGCAACTCTTCAATTTCTTGTGTACAAAATGTAAATTTGTACCTCAGGGAGGCACTTAAAGAAGGCTTATTGAGTGCTGTAAAAGGCCCAGTCCCTAGGGAGCATGAATGTGCTCAGTAAATATTTGTTGGGAAACAAGTAGAGAGGTGGGTCAAGTGCTGGTATGAGACAAAAAGTCAAGAGATCGCTAAGCTCTAGGAGTGTACCTCTGGAGAGCATGGATATTAGCAAGAAATGTCATGACATCTTGCTGTTTGTTTTATGTTGCAGAGTTATATCCAAAAGTTATGAAAAATAGGAAATATTGACATGATGATGGCGTAATGGGGGAGACAGAGTTGTGCCGCTGCTGAGCTATCAGCAGAGTTAGTCACAGAGTTACGCTGACGTCTGTGTTAAAAGGGACAGCTGTTACGGCGACTCGGTGTGATGCTTTGATGATGTGTTATTTTTGTGGTCCAAACACCGGGAGATTTTTTAAAAAGCTAGCAGCAGTTAGCAGCTAACCTTACAGCGACCAGGAATGGCAGCTAATAGGGAAGACAACAAGGTCCGGGAGCTCCTCACCCTCCAAGCAGAGGACCTCAATACTCGGTTCACCCGCCATTATTGTTTAGGATAAAAGCTGCTGCCCGACGCATATGTTATAGGTCACACTACTAGACGCTGTTGTGTTAAACGTCATGCCTCTTTTGCTCCTGTGATGCCGCGTGCTATCTGAAATCACACACTGGGGCAGCATAATGCCGCTGTTGTTCTGTTGGTCTGGCCCACCTAAATGGAACAGGGCCATAATTGATTTAATTAATAACACATGGGCTTACCCTGCAATGACATGTCAAAATGGCTGCTATGTAAAGGGCCTATATTGCCATAAAGAAAGAAAAGGGGCTATTGAAGGACATCACCATAGCCCTGCCACTATCAGGAGAATGCATTTATTTCTAGTTCCTGGATATTGCCTCTTCTTTTGTCATGTTGGATGTCATTGTAGAATTTTGATTACTAGAAATGACTGAGTTGTGTGGGCTACATAGATAATACCATTTCAGTTTGAGAAGAGTAGTTGGAGAAGTAGAAATTAAAATGTTTCTTTTTTGGAAATCCTATCCCCCAATTTTTGGAATGGTGGCATGTCACAAGAAGGCCTACCATGGTCTGAGAAGTCTGTTGTGGTAAACACTACTCTGATTTTGGACCTACACCTGGAAGAGATATCTCCAAAAGTCAAACATACTTATACA